AAGTTTGATAATTCTAAAGCATATTCTCATTGTTTTCTTTAAGAACTTGTTAAAAACCAGTCGAGAAAAGTACCAAATGGGGGAGTGGTTAATTTGTTTAGAAGAGCATATTCTCATTGTTTTTTTTTTTTTTAATATTGAAAGTAAAATTTGAACTTCACATTTACTAAACGTTACAAAAAATGTTCTTTACAGCGAAAATGTGATCATTAGATTACGAGGGACATTCTCATTTTCATTGCTTTGTTTGAAAACTTATGTCATGGAAAAACACACATTTATTTATATATATATTTATTTATTTATTTATTTATCACCAAAACACACCTATTGACGAAGGATGAGACCATTTCGATCCCCTTTATTAGTACTTATTTTTTAACAGCTCTACATCGTACTACAAAACTACTTTTCTCTTCCCAAATGGAAGGCAGATAGTGCCCAGTGGTGCCAGGGACTGACTGCCATTTGTTGAAGTTTAGCTCCCGACCTCTACCCGGCAGTGGCCAGGCTAGACTCATGGGCCAAGACCCCAATTGTAATATGGGTTCATGGCCTTCGGTTAATTTTATTTTAAATAGCCCCGCTCAATTTGGGCTTGTCATGCGCCTTTTAAATTCTACCTAAAACTTTATGATTCAAGTAACGGCCTTTTTATTTTTTATTAATTTATTTTATATGGCAATCTTATAATTATAATATATTATTAAATAAATGTAATATATTATTAAATAAATATATATATAAAATATTATTAATAAATTCTTAAATAAAAAAATAATCATATAATAACATATTATAATAAAAGTTTACGATATCACATGAAATTATAATTATATTATTTTTATACTTTATATTGGCGAGAGGAAATTCAAACTCATCTATAAAACATGTTCCTTACATATTGAATTATACAGTTACTAGCTCAAGTGCAATTTTTTTTTTTTTTTTGGAGCTACATTCATTTTGGCAAACTTGGTATGTATTCTAAAACATCTCATCAAGATCTCAATGAATCTTTACCAATTACTATCATAGCAAATTATCAATGCTTTGTAACCACCACTTGAAGTAAGTAGACAAATCCCATGAAGAAGAAACTGGGCCTACGGTTGAAGCCCCGGCTCAAACACTTGAAATCGGCAAAAACCCTTTTTAAGCTCCTCAACTTTTTCGATAGCAAGTAACAAACCCCTAAACTAAAAAGGTGATAAATAAGCCCTCTAACATCATATTGGGGTGTAAATCAGTCGCTCTGCTAACTGACCTCATGATGACGTCGTTTGTTATTGTCTTGCATGGCATTGCACTTGCACGTCTTTGGATGTTTTTTTTCCCCTTCATTTGTTTTTAGTAATAATATATTTTCTTAATTAATTAATTTTTTAGATTAATTAATTAATTAATATTATATAACATACATATCCTTAAGTCTTTTAATAAAATAATGATATATTTTTTATTTTAATTAATAATACATTTTACTTCAATAATCTTTATAAATTAATTCTTAAATTTAATTAAATCACCTAATTAATAAAAAAAATTTAACATGTTGCTTATTTTTCTCATTTATTTCTCTCTTCATTTAAATTTAGTAGATGTAGTTTCTTATTTGGTGTGTTTAAATTTAATTATCCACTTTTAATTTTTAGAATGTAACTTAATATATTTATTCCCATGCTGATCAAAAAATATATATATTTATTCCTATTTTACCCTCATTTTAAAAAGATATAATTACAACATATATTAAATAAAATATCTTATTTAAGTAGATTTAATTAGAGATAAATATAAAATTTTATTAATAAATTATTACATTTATATTTTATTAGATAAGAAAACTAGGTTTACTAAAAATAAATAGAAGGAGTATTATAAAAGGATTTTTGTAACCTCAACTCCTACAGCACATATTAAAAATATGATAAATACATTTTTTTTATTATAAATTTATATTGAAAGAATAAATATTGACCTTCAATTTATTAACTATCAATTAAATTTATCAACGTAACAATGATACTAAAATTAATGTTAGCTTTTATAATTTTTAATATAAATTAATAACAAAAATATGTGTTTTATGGTACAAATTTGATACTTTAAATGTCAAGACTTTTTAAAAAATTATTTAAATATCTTTGATAAATATTTTTTTACGTTGATTCACTAAAAGTACTTCAATATTTTCATTTTCATTTATGATATTTTAATTATCTTTTAAATAATTTTGAAATGCAATTAAAATACCAAAGTAATAATAAAAAGATTAAAGTACTTTTAGTAAATCAACAAAAAAATGCTTATTAAAGGTATTTAAATAATTTTACAAGAAATCTTAACATTTAAAATTCCAAAATAATTTGATTTTTGCTCTTAGGTACACTTTTTTTTGTATATTTGATAATGGTGTGCTGTACAAAAAAAAAAATAGTCCTCTTTTTTAAAATTCTTTCTAACCCAACTCAAAATTCAAATTTGAGATTCTTAGATATAGCTTTTTTTTATTAATTTATATTAAGCAATGTAAAAGCAGATATTAATTTTAGTGTCATTATCACATTGATGAATTTAATTAAATAATTAATAAATTAAACGTCAATATTTATTCTTCTAATATAAATTTATAACAAAAAATGTACTTATTATAATTTTAACATGTACCATAAGAGTTGAAGTTAGAAAATTCTTTTCATAATAATTAATAAAAAAATAAGAAATATGTTAAAAGATTCTTTATTAATTAGGTGGTTTAATTAAATTTAAGAAGTAATTTATATAGATTATTGAAGTAAAACTATTATTAATTAAAATAAAAAATATATCATTATTTTATTAAAAAATACTTAAGTAAATTTATATTATATAATATTAATTAATTAGTTTTTTAAAAATATATTATTACTAAAAGCAAATGAAGTAAAGATAAAAAAAAAAAAACGAAACAAAACAAAACAAACGTGTGAAGGCGTGCAAGTGGAATGCCACGCAAGCCAACGACAAACAGCATCACGAAGTCAATTAGTGGAGGGGTTGATTAGCACCCAACGTGAGGTTGGAGGGTTTATTCGTCACCTTTTCAAGTTTAGGGACTTATTACTTGATGTTAAAAAAATTGAGGGGCTTAAGAAGGGTTTTTTCCCTTGAAATCAGATCCCCTCAACCTCTCAAAATTGCGCACGTTAAATATATATATATATATATATATCAACGCTGTACTGGTTGATTTTTTTTTTTTTTGGTAGAAACTTTATTGGTTGAATAAAGACATGCATTCAAGAAAAAACCATTCTCTAACTTAAAACAATAAAAATTAAAATTTTCCTTAAAAAATACACTAATATCATAAAATATATATTGTTATATATCTTAGGTATTTATTAATAATATATATTATTTATACTATACAATATGCTATAATATGTTATATATATGCATCACTTTTAAGGACATGCATGTGGGTACTGTTTTTAATGCACAAAATATGAAGCAATGTCAGAAACAAGAAAAAAAGAGACAAAAAAAAATGTCTCGATTGGTGTAAAAGTATTTAAAATATTGTTTTTAAATTATTTAAATATTTTTAATAAATATTTTTTATTAATTTATTTTATATGGCAATCTT